GAAAGATCTTCTGCTCATTCTTTTAATTTTAAAACTTTCCTTTATAGTGAAATATAAAACAATGAAACTATTTTAGTGGAGGAGAAAACATTTTAACATCTGGTTTTGATGTCAAATAAAAATACTCCAAAAGTCTACATCATTCTTAGTCCAATAGCTGAGCAATAAATATAATAGAAAAAAACTGCCCTCCTTTGTATTTTGCCAACTTCATCTAGGTCTTGCCTAAAACAAAGAAATATCATAGTGATTTAGGAAATTTTAAATTATAAAATTACTTTAAATTACAATGTATTTTTCTAATGTTTCTTTAGCAATGATCTGAGTAGTTGTAGTTTTAAAAATAAATTTGCTATATTTTACCAAATTTCCCCTCCATTCAACTAATGTTCCATGATGTTATCAGCATAAGCACAGATTTCCTAGACCACTTGGCTGGTTCCACAACTATTTTAGTGATGCTAAGGGAAAAGGGAGTGGGTTACCAGAGAGAATGCTTTGGTTTTAACTAACATTTTACCCAGTGCAATGGGGGGGGGGGGAATGCAGAAAGTACATAAACTTTGAATAAAGATGTCCAGTTTTGAAAGCTTTTTTCTTAGATATGTAAGGAACCTAAACCAAAAATATATTAAGTCCCTTCATTTTAACTTAGCTAGAACACCTTTACACATTCTCGACCCTGTCCCTGTTCTTACATAGTTCTTTGGAATATTTATAAAGTGCACACACCACACACACAAAGTAAACATTGTTTCAAGAACCAGCTTGTTTCAGATTATTATACAGGGTCCAGCACAAATAATACCCCCTTTTTATTACAAAATGTTTTACTACAAAGTCATGAGCATGTAATTCTGTAGCCTAACAATATCACACTCAAGCATGCCATATGACATTTTAGGTAAAATGTTCAAATTAAAACTATAAATTATTACACCCATGTTATTAGCCTACCAACCACACTTAAGCAAGCTTTACTTCTGCCAGACCCCTATACATGCTTGCTTCATTACTCATTTTTTAATGTCACCTAAAATCCAGTATCTGAATGATGGAGGCAAGAAAGAGCATTTCAGTTCAAAGGCTGCCACAACCCTATTATGGCTAAACAAAGGCAAGAAAATGTAGCTTTTATACATCCAGATATTTTACTTTAGAACTAGAATAATAATGGTAAAGGAGAAATTATTGTTAGTTATTGGAAGAAATACACTTTTATAGCTTCAAATGTATTTTCAGTTCTCTAGAGAACACTGCCACTTGGTAAAAATGGGAGAAAAGCCTTCACAAAAAGGGGATTTCAAGGTGGAAAGATGATAAATTCTTTTCAAATTTGAAGGTTTTTTTAAATAAACTTTTTATTTTGGAACAGTTAAAAAAATTTTAAAGCAAAAATATGGAGTTCCCATATACACCATACTCAATTTTCCCTATTATTAACATTTTATACTAGTATGTTACATTTGTCACAGTTGATGAACTTTAATAATTGATGCATTATTATTTGGACCTAAAGTCCAAATTTCATTCAGATATCCTTAGTTTTTCTCTAATGTCCCTTTTCTGTTCCAGAATACAACATTACTTTTAATCATCACATCTCCTTAGGCTGTGGATTTCTTAAGACTTTCTCTATGTGGACCTTGAGAGTTTAGAGGAATACTGGTAAGATATTTTGCTGAATGTCCCTCATTTTTTCTTGGTTAGACTGGGGTTATAGTTTTGGCAGCATCATACCAAGGGTACATTCCATCAATGTGTCTTATCCACGTGATCAACTGCAGTTCCTTTTAGCTGCAGTGCCTTTAGCTTTACAGACTCCACACATTTCCAAAGTTATTTAGGTCAGCATCTTCTCCCCCCACCCTCTTGAGTGATGTTGTCTCACATATTTTAATGGATCTTTAACATCTACCCACAGCTGCAGGTTGTTGCTCTAGGCTCATCTTATATACTTCCTGCTCCAATCCTAGCTATTTCTCTAAGAAGCCCTGGTTCATTTATTGCAGAATGGTATTAGAAACCAAGATCTGGGCACTAGAGTGTGCTCACTACTAAACCCTTTCAGCTGACAAGCAAAGAAATATATGTGTGTATACTTACCCTTGGAAACACCATGTCTGTAATTATTCCTTTGCAAAAACATCCATGTCTACATTAAGCTAATGTGAGTTCACAGCAACGTCTCTGGTTCTAATGCATTATCACATGGATTTTTCTAGCCTCTTGCCCTTGCTCATCCATACACTTCAACAGTGAGAAAGCTGGCTCCAATCATTTGACATTCATTTCCTTAATTGTTCAATTCCAGCATACATGTCTAGTGATACCAAAATTGTTAACCTGTATGCCCATGGGAAACAACTTTATCAACTACAGTACACTTCCTTTTGCCTTTAGCTTTACAGACTCCACACGTTTCCAAAGTTATTTAGGTCGGCATCTTTTCCCCCTACTCTGCTCAGTGAGGTCATTTCACATATTTTAATGTCATTAATTTTGTCACATTTTGTAATCCATCCTGGGTTCCTCTGACCTGCTAAATGATTATTTATATAATAAAAAATATGTTTTACTTTTGATAAGGGGTATGGTGAGGGTGGGGAGGGGAGAAACCACTGATGGAACTTGAAAGGAAAAAAACCAATTTAGAGGTACTTGAGTTTATGTATAATATCGGCTTGAAATAAAAACTTATTGAAAGCTAACATAATGCATTTATTTTTAAAATGTACTGAAATCTTCACATACAGTAAGGGACATGGTAAAGATCAAATATAAGAAATGTAGCTCTCTTGCACAATTAGACATGGATTTTTCCAGGAGTTTCCAGTAACTTTCTTCAATTTTCCCACCTCTAAAATGAGAATGAAAAGTTTCTCAACCAGGACTAAAACTTTAGGGTAGGTATATTGATAGTACTCTGTATTAAGGGTAAAAAATGTAACAGCTATTTAAGTTTTAATTGGAGGAAATAAGCTCTACCCAGTTATACTTTTCACATGATTGTAAAATTTTATAGTTTCACACAACTATATTCATAAAGCATTGTAACCCTGATAATTACTATTCACTCATATCGCTAAGGAGTTATTCTTGTCTAGCATTTTGGGATCCTTGGGCATTTTAGAGTCCTTAAGAATATCCAGACAGCTATCAATACATATCCAGGTTTGTTCTTAAGCATGTGAGAGAGTTTACCAAGATTTGGTGGCCATTCGCAGAAGATAATCTTAAATAAAATCCCCTCCCAAAGGGGGAGGAAAACAACACCTCTTGGTGATTAAAAAAACATTTATTACCCTTGTATGACTGCATAAATGCCATTTCTTTACTAACATATAATCACAAATTTCCAAGGATACAGTTTAAACGCCTAGATTATGTGTTTTACTGAATTATTAGAAAAGGAGACATTGAGAATAAATTCACCATGTCAGCCTTTGCTGAAGCAAATTGTGCCCAAGGACCTCTTTAGTTTCTTTACGGAAATCATCATTAATCCATTTCTAGGCAACACTTTACATGTAATGCAATTCAGAAGTCTACTCTCTTTCTTTGTAGTGAGCACTGAGAAGACATGTTTGAGGCCATTAATGAATATTTCTTTCAAATATTGTGAATAGTTCCTTCTTCCTTATTATTCAATTCAAATGTTAAATGTCTGTGAATATAAAAACTACAATTTCCTAGTTAAGTATTCAGAGACAGTACAGTTAAATCTTATAAAAAATCCCATCTTTAATAATCTCAAAACAAAGCTTTGAGGTTACAGTAAGAACACCTGTTTCCCTTCGTGGTCTCCCCAAAACATCCAATAAGTTATTCTATAAATAAACCACTATGCTTTTGTACTGACGTAAGTTTGTATCAACCCTGCAATTTCCCAAACTCAGGCTCTAGCAGAAATAAAACAGGAAGTGAACTCATTCCAAGTGGGGCCGGAGACTAGAATAGGAGGTAAGATTAGAGGCAAGGAACAGGATAATTAGAGCTCAAAGTCAAAGTGACACTTTAAGAAAATCTAAAAGATTTTCTTCAAATCTTTTCGGAGGGAGGTGGGTTGGGGAAAGGTATAAGCAGTTTACCAAGACCACTGTCTCCATTAAGGGAGTCCAATGCTACATAAGAAGATGCTCAAACCAAGCAGAGATCAATGTTCCTCTAGCCTCTGCAATATTGACCATAGTGATTTATAGTACAGTAGCACAAAGAAACTGGTATAATAATGAGGGATCAATAAAGTTTGATTAAAAAAATTGTCAAATTCTAAAAATCCTGAACAATTGTTGGAGGAGAGGCAAGAAGAAAAGAACAAACTGCTCCCTAAGTATACCCCCGCAAAATCAATGCCTCATCAGTTCCTTCTTCTCACACTAAAAACCAGGAGTCTCCCTGGTATAGTATCAACAGGGCTGTCACACTCCTCATACTCAGACCTTTCAAAGACTTTGGAGGTTCACATTATATGACAAAAGACAAAGTCCAGGGAGGCATAGCTGCCAAGAGACAGGACAGTAAGAAAGTCCCAAAGTAGAGATGGCTTTATCTGGAAGCACTCTGCCGAGCTTCACACCAATCTGACTCGGCAGCAGTCTACACCCTCAGAGGGAATGCAAAGGAACTTTGAGAAAGTATTTACTCAGAGACACATGTTGTTGCCATCTATAGCACTGGCAGTCACCAGCAGAGATCTTAACAGAGGGGTAGGCTCAGGATTTAATCATTAGGCTTGCCTTTCAATCTCCTAACTCAGATATACAGGGGCTTAATAAAGTAATCTTTTCATCCTGACTTAAGGGAAGTAATTCTATTAAGAATTGAGCATGCTTGGGAATTTACCTGCTTCACTGTGAGTCTAAGGAGTTGAGGTGGGATGGGTAATGCCACAGAATGAAGAGGAGCATCTTTGCAGGGTTGGTCCCCTGTCTGAGAGCGTTCCTGCAAAGGCTCATCTCCCAGTGTATTAAATCAACAGACGGGGCTGCAATACCTACCTGCCACTCTGGTCTGAGGTCCATGTAACTGATCTCCCCTGGGGTTTGGTTCTGTACCGTATCCTTATGGCATGAGGAAAGTCAGTAGCTGTTTGAGCCCCTGTCTTCCTGATCTGTAAGCTCCAACTGTCAGTGTCAAACAGGAGTTCCCCACAGCCAGGAGCCTGGCTGCAGCAAGCATAATAGTCTAACTGCTCCCTCCAACGATCTGTAGGCAGAGTCACAAGTTCATGTACAATCTGATTCCTGAGCTCAGAAACAACCCTGAGCTTGGGAGACCTTGTAAGTTTTTCAATACCTGGCACAGCAGCAACATCCACCTCCTCAACCTTCAACACAGATAAATCACAGCAGTCCAACACTAGCAAAAAATCCTCACTCCCATGAATCCCTGTGTCACAGCGGTACTTTGAGCTAGAAATCCCAGAAGCCTGTTCCCCGTTGTCATGGTTACCATCTTTACCAGAAGTCTTTTTTTCACCTTTACCACAGATTTCAAAATCATTGTATCTTATTTCAGATGAGAAGGTCCTTATATTTGTCACAGGAACATGGCAAGGTTCTGGCATCCTAGATTTGCAGGCTTCATTTGACTCTGATCGGCAGGTTTCCTCAGTGGAACTACTCTTTTTCCCATATCTGTTTCCAGGCTGAAAGAAAAGCACTAAGGTGCCCTCAATGATTTGACTTTTGAAATCCACATCTAAGTCCAGTACATAGTGCTTCACAAGTATGTGGCTGGTGTTGGCCATGAGAGGCAGGTCATCCTGAGGCAGCTCCAGCTTTATGTCCATGGTATAGGTTGTTGAGGACTTTGTTAAATGCTCAGAAGGGCCTTCCTATCTACCTTAATCATCCAGAATCATAATGACTGCCTACAAAAAACCCCACCAACTTTGATGTCAAGAATTACAGTTCCACAACTTTCAGTCCCCTGGCAAAGAAGAAAAAAAGAGAATCACAATTAGACAAAATTCTAAGACCCTAAATGCTCCTGCAGCCACTGCTCCTGCAAGTTGACTACCTTCTTAAATGTGGTAGAAGCTCATGACTAGAAGGCAGACTAATCTTTGTGACTGACATCAAAGAAAGCAGCATTATGAGTTTCTAAAAATATTTCAATTACCAACAGAATGAAAGAGGCCTCCACAAAGCCAGAAGAAACCTGCTTCTAACTAGAACAGTTCTCATTTTGGAAAAGAGCAATTGTTATGTAAAAAGCATAAGAGCATCACTGTACCTCTTGTTTTTAAAATATATTAAATGTATCATTTCTAATTTTGTGCCTCAAAAGATAAGTGATTGTTTCTCTACTGTTATTCTAAGTAACAAATGTGAATGAAGGCTAAATGGCCTCATACATTTTATTCTTTGAGAGTAATAATTTAATACATACAATGTAACTCCAGGGATTAATGTACTTTTCACATTAGGACTGCTCTCATATCAGCACTTCCAGTAAATTACAGGAAAATGAGCCAATTTACCAGGAGTGCATTCTAAGTATTCCTTTGAGATTGTTCATGGAGATTTTTCAAATTTATAGTTAAATACTCAAGGTATATCATTACATCTTAATAGCTGAAAACCCATTAACATTCTGGGATAATAGCCTTCTTGTGGCAAACAAAAAGTTCTTCTCATTTGAAAAAATAGTAGACAAATACCTATAAAAAAAGGAAGGAGAGAAATTAAAATGTAGAAACAGATGTTGTAATAAAATGCCCAAGTTCTTCATAAAAGTTCTGAATCAAAATGTATTTTTATTTTACAACAGCAATCTAGCAAAAAAAATTATTTGAAATTATTTCAGTCCCTGTTATATACCTAATATTTTCAACACATGTTGTTTCTTTATTATTCTTTTACCAAAAGTGGAAAAGAAATAAAAACTCTAGCAGAGTAGGTATATTTAAAATAGTTTTTACATTTAAAAGTATCAGGAGGTATTCTTTCATCAACTACAAAAATTACTTGCTTGACTTTTCAAGTAAAATTGAGCCCTGCTTTATCATTCCGTTTAGCTCCTCCTTACTTCCCTTCTGACTTTACCTGCATGACTACTAGACTCTTATTTCCCTTTCTTCTAGAATCTCATTCCAGCAATCAACTCCACTGAATATTCATTTTCTACCTCTCCACAGGCTATTCCCTCATCAGAATCTCACCCAGCCTAAAAAAAAAAATTTGGCTTCCTACAGCTTTGCACAATCTGTTTTCATGCTATTTTCCCACTCATGGAGACCACACTCCCTTTGCATCCTTGTCCTATAGCAAGCCCCTGCTCAAAACAGTATTCCCTGAAGATGACCAGACACCACACCTCCTTTCTTTCTGGACTAAGCAATGTACCATGCCTGGAATGTTCTTTGCTTCCACCTCTCATATTCCCTTACCAAATCCTGTTCTCCCTCCCCACCCTGTTGAAGTACAATCACCTCCTCAAATCCTACACTCTTACTTACCATCCCTTTCCCCAAGAAACTGTGTATAGTAACATACATTTTGAGGTTTTTTTATGTCTAATTTTTATTCTGAAATGTAAAGCTCTTCTGAATTACAGTTGACATACAATATTGTATTAGTTTCAGGTGTAGAACATAGTGAGATTTAACATTTATATACACCTTATCAAGTGATCACAAAAAGTCCACTATCCATCTGTCACCATAAGAAGTTACTGTGATATTGATATTACTATTCTATATGTTGTACTTTACATCCCCATGACTTATTTACAAGTTTGTACCTCCTAATCCCCTTAGCCTTTTTGCCCATACCCCTACCGCCCAACCTTCTAGCAATTATCAGTTTTGCTGTATCTATGGGTCAGTTTGTCCTGTTTGTTCACTTTAGTTTTTTAGATTCCACCTCTAAGTGAAATGATATAGTATTTGTCTTTCTCTGACTTAATTTCACTTAGCATAATACACTCTAGATCAACCCATGTTGTTGCAAATGGCAAGATCCGTTTCTTTTCTGGCTGTGTAGCATTCCGGTGCATTGTGTGCATGTGCACACACACATCCACTTCTTTATCTATTCATCTAGTGATGAATGCTGGGGTTGCTTCAACAACTTGGCTAGTGTAAATAATGCTGCAGTAAACAGAGGTGCATACAGCTTTTTGAATTGTTCCACTTCTGGGGGTTTATCTGAAGAAAACAATTGCTGAGTCCTTCTTTGTCTCTTATTATATAGCCTTTGTTTTAAAGTCTTTTTGTCTGATATAAGTATTGCTATCCAAGCTTCTGGTTTTTTTTTTCATTTCCATTTACATGAGATGTCTTTTCCATTTATTTATTTCCAGTCTCTGTGTGACTTTCAATCTGGAGTCTTCATTAGGCAATATATGTAGAGGTCTTTAAAAAAAACCATTCAGTCATCTGTTTTTGCAATGGAGCACTTAGTCAACTTCAAATAAAGTAATTATTAATAGGTATGTGCTTATTGCCATTTTTATTGTTTTCATACTATATTTATAAGTGGTCAGTCTACTATCTTTACTATGTTTGCCTTTACCAGTAAATATTTTTTCATCTTATTTTTAGTTTTGGCCTTTTCCACTTAAAGAATTCCCTTTAACATTTCTTGTAATGCTGGTTTAGTGGGGATGAACTCCTTTAACTTTTGCTTGTCTGAGAAAATCTTGATCTTTCCTTCTATTCTGAATGATAACTTTGCTGGGTAGAGTATTCTTGGTTGTAGGTTTTTTTTCTTTCATCAGGTTGAATATATCATGCCACTCCCTCCTGGCCTGCAAAGTTTCTGTTGAAAAGTCATCTGACAGTCTTATGGGAATACCCTTGAATGTAACTAGTTGTTTTTCTCTTGCTGCTTTTAAGATTCTCAGAATATCCAGAGACACATAAAGAGATGCTCAATATCGCTAGCTATCAGGGAGATGCAAGTTAAAACCACAATGAGATACCACTTTACACCCGTCAGGATGGCTATCATAAACAAAGCAACAAACAACAAATGTTGGAGAGGTTGTGGGGAAAAGGGGTCCTTAGTTCACTGTTGGTGGGACTGCAGACTGGTACAACCATTATGGAAAACAATATGAAATTTTCTCAGAAAAATAAGTTGACCTGCCTTTTGACCCAGCAATTCCACTTCTAGGATCATATCCTAAGAATCCTAAAACATCAATTTCAAAAAACCTATGCACCATAATGTTCATAGCAGCACAATTTACAATAGCCAAGAGTTGGAAGCAACCTAGGCGCCTGTCAGTAAATGAATGGATCAAAAAATTGTGGTACATATACACAATGGAATTCTATGCAGCAGAGAGAAAGAAGGAGCTACTACCCTTTGCAACAACATGGATGGAACTGGAAAGCATTATGCTGAGTGAAATAGGTCAGGTGCTGAAAGACAAATACCATATGATCTCACCTTTAACAGGAAGCTGAACAACAAAACAAATACACAAGCAGAATAAAAACAAAGACACTGAAATAGAGAACAAGGGGACAGTGACCAGAGGGAAGAGGGAAGGGAATTTGGGGGGGGGGGATTTGGAGGAACAAATATGAAGGACACAGGGACGAGAACTAAGGGGGGTGGAAATGGGAAGGAGGTGGGAGCACAGGGTGGGGGAGGGGCTGGGATGGGAGAAACAGACAAAAAACTGTACTTGAAAAATAACTAAATAAAATTATTTTTAAAAAAGATTCTCTTTATCTTTAACTTTCAACAACTTAATTATAATGTATCTTGGTGTGGGTCTCTTTTGGGTTCATTTTGTTTGGGACTCTGCTTCCTGGACTTGGATGCCTGTTTCCTTTGCCGAGTTAGGGAACTTTTCAACCATTATTTCCTCAAATAGGTTTTCTGTCCCTTTCTCTCTCTCTTCTCATTCTGGGACCTATGATTCAAATGTTAGTATGCTTGATGTTGTCCCATAGGTCTCTTATGCTATCTTCATTCTTTTAAATTCTTTTTTCTTCTTGATCTTCCATTTGGGTGACTTCCACTATCCTGTGGAAGGATCCTGTTTTCCTGATTGTTGATCCATTCTTCTGTGTCATCACACTTGCTGTTGATTCCCTACAGTGATTTTTTCAATTGTTACATTCTTCGGTTCTATTATGTCCTTTCTTAGAATTTTAGGTCTTTGTTCAAGTTGCTGAAGTTCTGACTGAGTTTGTTTGTCTGCACAGTTGAAAGAGCATCTTCATGACTGTTACTTTGACCTCTTCATCTAGCAGACAGCTGACCTCAGTTGCATGTTGTTTTTTTTCTGTGGTTTTATTCTATTTTTCTGTTTGGAACATATTCTTTTCTATATTCATTTTGCCTCTTTGTTTTTATGTATTGTATTAGGTAGTTAACCTAAATCTCTTAGTCTTGAAAAAGTGAACTTTTTTTCCAATGGGGCCCTAATTTCAACGTCCCCCTTGTTACCAGAGAAAGGTGGTTTAGAGGGGGGACTAATATAGCCTCCTGTTGTGGCTGGGCCACAACTTCTGTGGACACACTGGCAGGAAGGCTGCTACCTGACCTGCTGGCTGTGAAGCCTGGCCACAACTGTCGCAGACTCACTGGAATGAAGGGTAAGGCTTTGATGTGGCTGGCTGCAAAGCTCACCCCCGCTGTTGTAGATGCTGAGTGCATCTGCTGTGTGCTGGTGCTGAGTGATGCTACCCACTGTATGTGGCAGGGCAGGAAGTGCTTTGGAGGGGTGCTACCCTGGATAGGCCCTCAGGGAAATGCCAGGGTGGGGCGAACAGTGTTAACAAAGTTAATAGACAGTGTCAGACCAGCTGGGTTAAAGGAAGGGGAAAAATGGTACCTACCAGCACCTGTGGCTCAAGCAAGTTCCAAAAGATCCCTGTCCCTCCAACATGCACCCTAAAATTAGTCAATGAATCACCTTCACATATGATCTAGCTGCTTTTTAAACTACTCCCTCTGTGCCAGAAC